CTGCTCACGTTTATTTGGTCTGGTACCTTTACTCAGATTTTATGGAAAGATATCAAAAGTTTCATCTCTAACAGCATCTTATCAAAATTTGTACGTTTTTACCAAAACGTGTTATTTGGTTATACTGACTTTAGTGAGAAAGACTCATTGATCTGATTTTAATCAAACACCACATCCATAAAAGTTTTCCACTTTCAGGAGAGAAACACAACTTTATGTGACTACAATTTATTCATCTCCCAACATGAAAGCATTAAAAACCATGAAAATTTCATCATGGGCAGAAACCCCCTTTTCCCCCTGACTTTGCCCCCTATATGTTACACACTTCACTGTCTATCCTTTTTTTGCTGCCTAGCCTGACCTGTCTCCCCAATGTAAGTTTATATATTGTATGTATTGTCTGTATGGGCGACTGGGTCTGTCATCTCAGCTGCAGGCAACTGACAAATAAAGCTTATCCTTATTTGTCATCCTCTTTTTTTGATTTTTCTCTGTATCTGTCGCCTATCTCTGTCCTATTTGTTTAATTATACTGTTCCACTGTATTATAATTTACGACGAGTTCTTCGTGTATTATGTTTGCTGTTAAAGTTTCTGTTGAAATAAAGTTTGGAGGGAAAAAAAACGGTACGTCATCCACGCGACGTATAATGCGCGCGACGGGCCAAAGTACCCAGAGGCCTCGCGCGTGTGACGTATAATTCAGTCGCCGGGCTGCGAAGACTTTCGGGTCAGCTCGGAGGGTTTGTGCCGCAGGTTATCATGGCCCTGAGGACAGTTCGGCTGCTTGTCCCGACGAGAGCAGCTGCTTTCAGAGTAGTGACCGCGGCGCAGAAGGTAAGGACCCGCGGTGTGCCGGGTTTCTGTCCGGCTAGGCTCCACTCTGATTCACAAGGGCAAGCTAGCTTAGCTAGCTTAGCTTAGCCGCCACCATCACCGCCCTTCAGTCACAGGCTTGGTCTTAATGTTGACAGCCTGAAGTTTAACAACATCGCTCCTCCAGCTCTAACACAAGCTGAACAGTTTTAAACGGAATGACTGTTAAAATAGCAGCTCGTCTAAATAAACGAGTGCGTATTAGCCGATGTTATGGATGCTAATATATGTTGTTTTGTTCCTGCCAGTTTTTGAGGCTGAGTGCAGATGTTTCAGCTCCGGTTATAAACATGTCATTGTCTCTGGTTATTGATAATCTTGTAGTGCAGGGATGGATACGTTAGTATTTAAGTGCGTTCATTTGCAGATAGAATATAAAACACATCCGTCACTTTGAACTCAGCACATGCAGACAGGAAGTGGATGCTGCTGCACCAGTTTAGAAGAATCTGAATCTGAATACGTGGAGATTAAGCTGTGTAAAGATGGCTTACGTGTGTGTGCATATATCAGTTGAATAAACACATTGTGTTTATGTAAAAGTTTGTGATGGCTCTAAAGAGTTAAAGATGACTCGCCTGGGTTTTAGAAATGCACCTGCCAGCACTGATGTGATCTGACTGGAATCACTTAAACAGCTTCTCTAACTAAATGCAATATAACAGGAAAAATATACATTTACTGAATGATTAATCCTGTAATTGTTATTAATAAGATAATAAATGACAGCATTTATTTGCACTTGTGTCCTTTCTGCTGTGACAGCCTTTAATGGTCACTGATTTCTTGCCGTTTTCACCGTGAGTGCAGATACATCACATGTTGAGCGCTGCTGACCACAGACAAGTGAGATGATGACAATATATTGTGTTAATGCAAGTTGAGTTAAAAACGTCCCAGCAGCTGTTAGCACAAACAGCAGTAATGTTGTTGTTTTCTGCTCCTGCTATCAGCAGATGGTCTCCTGACACCTGGTGGAATAAACACAGAACAACATTGAACTGATCAACTCATTGATCGCACGTTACTATACCTCATCCAGTTTTTAGAGTCAGGTTTGCGCTACAGTCGTGTGAACATTGAGGGGCGGGGTTATGTCAGGGTAACGCAAAGTTATTTAAGGGCTAGTTTTATTGCAATGGGCAAGTTTACTGACTGACGCGCAGAAGAAATAGTTCTTTATGGAGCCTAGATGGTGTGAATGACAAGACCAAAGACTGTACCAAAAATATATTGAATAAATGGGGGAAAGGAGAAGTGGAACAAAATAATTAATGCAACACACAACATAAACAAATGCCCACAATTAATTAATAAATTAATTGCATGTGTTAGTTACTGCAAAATTAGATGCATGTTTGGTTATATCAGGGTCCTTTAAAATGCTTTAATTAAAAATATAATATTGACATATTAAAGCATTTTTGTACACGTTGTATTCTTTCATTTTGTGTAGACACTTACTGACTCACACAAACCGATGTGTAGAATAATGGTTATGGCTAAAACGATGAGTTTAATGACTGGATGGATGGTTGTGACTGCACTCACAGTAACAAACTCAGTAGTTGTTGAATGCAGCGTGAGCCACAAACCCATCTTATCATTTAGAGGTTTATTTGTTGATTGTTGATGATCCAGGCCAGCGTTCATACAAGCTCGGTGAGGAGCCTGCGATATGGCTGGTGGGCCTACGCTCTGGGGGAGAGGACCACGCCACGGTTAAAGCAGTACAGCAAAATCATCTCTGTGGATGGCAACCTGGCCTCGGGGAAAGGAGCGCTGGCCCAGAAACTGGCCGACAAACTGGGTAATTATCTGATCACGGGGATTGTTTCCCACCACAGCGATACGCAGCTGCAGACTGAGTGGGTGCTTGGAGCTCATGCTGCAGACTTGTTTGTGCACAGGGATGCTGTACATGCCTGAGCCTGACACTTTCTACCTGGACAAGATGACCGGGGAGAAGGAGCCGCTGCCCGTCGACTTTAATGGGATGTGCAGCCTGGAGAAGTTCTACACAGACCCCAAAGCTGCAGATGGAAACAGCTACAGGCTGCAGCTGTGGATGTACAACATGAGGCTGCTCCAGTACTCCGATGCCATCGAGCACCTGCTCACCACAGGTATCTCTGACTCAG